TTCGGGTGGTCAAACCATGGAATGAGCTTCCCGCAGATGTTGTGATGTCACCATCTATACAAAGTTTTAAGAAGAATCTGGACATATTTATGTTCCGAAATGACCAAGAGCGAAGAGAAGTCGAGCTCACCCCCTGTAACTCGTTCCCATTTTGTCCTACCATTATGATTTCCTTTGAACTATTTCAGCCGAGACACGTTTTCTGTTCACCACACATTTTTACGTTGTCGATAGTATACTCAATGCCTTACGTCTATTTCCCTCAATAAACTGAACTGAATCTGCTGGATTATTTTGGATTCTTCGTCCTTCCTTGCCCGACGGATCCATGGTTTGACAGCGTTCAGTAGACGATGAAATTCGCCGAGATGTTTTTGTGCGCCAGCTTCCCTGAATTTCTTCCGTAATCTACTCGACGTCCTCAACTCTCTGTTAGGTCCTTTGACAAAGTCCCTCATAAAATTCTACTGTTAAAGCTAAAATGTCATGGAATTAGGCCTCCCCTTCTCGATTTTTTCAGGTCCTATATTCAAAACCGATATCCAGTATGAAAATTCGAAACGTAGTCTCGGAACCATCACCTATTACCATTTGAGTACTTCAAGGCACTATCTTAGGCCCCCTTCCATTCGTCATACATATTAACGACTTATCGTTCATATCAGTATCAGCTAAGACGTTTTTATATGCGGACGACCTTAAACTTGCATATGCGTATAACGGGAACACAGTTGCCAATATTCACAGAACAACTGAAACTGATTTCAGGAAACTCAGCGAATGGAGTAGTCAAAGGCAGGTGCCCTTTTTACCCGAAAAATGCCATCTCCTGATCTTTGGCTCACAAAAATTTCCGCCATAATATTCGAGGATAGTGAAATAACGGAGGGCCAATCGGTAGAAGATTTAGGTCTCATTTATGCAAATACCCTTAACTTATCTCACCACGCCCTGCAAATATTGCCAAAAACCACTCGTCTTTGTGGATTCATATGCAAAATTTCACCTTAAATGCACTCGGAATACAACTTTTCAAAATGTACTTTTTACCTCTCCTAGATTATTGCTAAATTTTCTTCAGCATAATGTCCTCAGACGGCCGAAAGAAACTAGAAGTCATTCAGAGACGTTTTACTAGATTTTTGTCCAGAAGTGATGGCACCCAGGGTGGTCGGTCGAGCCAATGACAAAATGGCCAGACTGATGCTGGGAAGTTGGTCCTCGACTGGCACCCTCAAAAGGGTCATAGGCCTACCTCCCGCCCACCGGGCGCTTCGCGCGAGGCTCGAGTCAGTCCAGGCAGGGCCAATGGCGCGGATGAAAAGAGTCACACGTGGTTGACTGCCGACGCTCGCGGAGAGAGGAGGTGCTGACCGAAAGTCACGTGACCGGCGTGGCACGCAGTCTCACGGACGTACTCGCGAGGCCGGAAACACCACGCCTAAGGAACAACGATCGATCAGCCAGCCGTCTGACGAGGGAAAGGCCAACAAGCACGCCGACGCGGCGGCGACCACGTCAGGCGTGAGGGAGACACAAGGCACGCCAGTCCGCCAATGGCTGAGATCAGGGAGGCCACAATAAGCCAACAGAACACAGGCTAACCAACGTACGTGCACCGGGCACGGTTATAATATGAGGCAGGCGGCAAGGCTAAACAAATCAAGGCCAACAGGAAACGTCAGGTAACGACTCTGATGATGGAAACGAGAGTGTTTCCGAAACGTCAGTTTGAATACAATCTGGTCAATGAACTCGCCTTCTTTTCTTCGTCTTCCGCGGGGGATGATAAGCACGGTAATATATCTGGACCTCTAATCTTCACGCATATGTACTAAGAACTATATCATAAATACGGTCTTCGATCCCTCTGGATCAGAAGACACAAAAATGGTCTTAACTTCGTATTCAAGGTCACCCATGACTAAGAAATTCTCAAAATGAATTTACTAACATACGAAAATGTCCCCAGAAACGCCAGAAATAACGAGGATATTATAAGGATCCCCAAATTTACAAGGCCCCAACGGTCAACTTTCTACTCCATAAGATATGCCACTATCCGGAATGCTCTTCCAAGTTCTATCCGGAAAAGTCGAACTCTAATCAAGTTTAAAATAAAAACTAAAAAATCCCTTTCAAAAAACAATACGCGTTTATTTTGAATAAGGTAGGACATTTTCAAGTCAATTCTTTCACATGGAATTCGGTCCGAAAGGGCTCTGATGAGGTCAGCCACTTGAATAATACCGGAACATAGTGTAGCAGCTGCTCCAGTCCCCCTTTTCTACGGCTCCGTTTTGTCGGTCGATGGTCGTGACAAGCACTGACAGGCCGCTGACGCACGACCACCCCCGCCGGCTAGAACTGGGACGCCTCCGGTCCAGCTGCAGCGACCCCCGGCTGCACTCACAAACTAGTATCACCTAACGCGCGTCGAACGCTTTGGCTTGATTCCCGTGAGGCCTTGTGAGTATGCGCCCTCCATTCGTCCCCTAATTAGTCCAATCACACGACCACCACGCAGACAGTCACCCCCTCCTGCTAACTTAGACACACACACTCGCGTTAACAAGACACACCGTGACTGACGCTCTCCATGAACGGACGCTTTTCTCTGTTGCAAGCAAACCGCCAACTTACGGCAACCTGCCCTGTGTACAGAATAAACTAGTCCTCACAGCTTCCTGATTTCTGACAGTAGACGAAACGAACTTATTGTGCGTGGTTTAAGTCGATCTCACATCCTTGACCGCCACAAATTGGTGACCCCGAATTTTGAACACAGGAGTTTATTGAGCGTCTGTCAGTCATCCGTTCATCTCCTCCACCATGTCCGGCGACGAGACGTCAGTGCCCGTTCCCTCTACATCGCACGTCGCCGTTAAACTTCCAACCTTTTGGCCACGAAATGTCGGGCTTTGGATTGCACGTTGCGAAGCCGAATTCGAAGCATGCAACATCACTCGTCAAGAGACCATGTTCAATCACTTGCAGCGTTGTCTTCCTGACGAGTATGCGGAGGAACTCTGCGACCTCCTCATCCACCGCCCTTTAGAACAACCTTACGACAAGTTGAAAGAGGCTCTGGTAAAGCGCGTAGCCATGACAGAGGAGCGCCGACTACGACAACTTCTCACTGGCGAAGAGCTCGGGGACCGAAAACCTTCTCAACTACTGAGAAGAATGCAGCAGTTTGTTGGCGAACGCAAGTTCGACACCTCCATCCTTCGCCAACTTTTCCTTCAGCGCCTCCCACTCGACGTCCAGACAGTTTTGGCTGTTTCTCAAGGAAGCATGGAAGAATTGGCAGAGCTTGCCGACAAGGTTCTGGCATTGAGAGTCGCAGAGATTCATTCAGTAAGTCACACCGCCAGCCCTATTTCTCATGAATATGATCAGCGCCTTGATCGACTTGAGCAGTTGGTCATGCAACTGACAACTCAACTCAGTGCAGTTGCCGCAGGAGGTCCGAGGCGATCACGATACCGTCGGCGGAGTTCCTCACGTTCCAGTAATCGTCGCCAGCAGTCTTCAAGTGGCATGTGCTGGTATCACCAGAATTTTGGACAAGCAGCACGACGATGTCTGCCGCCATGTTCATTTAAGCCACCTCTCAAGGCTTCGGGAAATGATCCCGCCCGGCAGTAGCGGCGAATACTGCCGGGGACGCTTCCAATGTTCACACTCGCCGTTTGTTTCTCTGGGACCGTATCGCTGGCGCCAAATTCCTTGTCGACTCTGGTGCCGAGGTTAGCGTGGTTCCACCAACTCCGGCCGAACGCAAACACCGCATCTCTTTTTGTCTAACAGCTGCCAACAACTCCAGCATCCCCACTTTTGGCCAGCGCTCCATCACACTCGATTTGGGCCTTCGTCGGATTTTCCGATGGGTTTTCATTATTGTCGACGTTTCCGTCGCCCTCATAGGCGCCGATTTCCTAGCTCACTTCAATTTACTAGTTGACTTGAGGAATCGCCGGCTCGTCGACTGCATCACCAACCTTCATACCCGTTGTCAACCCGGTGTGTATCCCTGCGTCAACCCTCTCACTGTTATGCCCATTTCTGACTGTTCTTTCCACTCACTCCTCAGGCAGTTTCCCCGCCTGACCAACCCCTCATTTCGAGAAGTGGACATCAAGCACACAGTCACCCACCATATTTCCACCACCGGACCTCCCAAATCTTGCCGACCATGTCGTCTTGCTCCGGACCGTTTGAAGATTGCCAAGGCATAGTTCGAACACATGCTCGAGCTCGGCATCATCCGACAGTCCGACAGCTGCTGGGCATCACCCCTCCATCTTGTCCCCAAGAAGAATGGCGACTGGCGACCGTGTGGTGACTATCGGGCGTTGAACTCTGTGACTGTCCCCGATCAGTATCCCGTCCCGCACATCCAAGACTTCACCCTTTCGCTACATGGTAAGCGAATATTCTCTAAGATCGACCTTGTGCGTGCCTACCACGAAATCTCGATCGAGGCCAGCGATGTTCCGAAGACTGCAGTGACCACTCCCTTTGGGTTATTCGAATTTACTCGTATGCCCTTTGGTCTGAGGAACGCCACTCAAACCTTTCAGCGATTCATTGATCAGGTTCTGCGAGGTCTCGACTTCGTCTACGCCTACATTGATGATTTGCTAGTGGCTAGTTCTGACGCTGCTGAACACGAGATTCATCTTCGACAACTCTTCGAACGGCTCGACTCCTACGGCGTTATGATCAATGCCGCCAAATGTGAGTTTGGAGTCCCCAGTCTTATCTTCCTTGGTCACGAAGTGAACTCAGATGGGATAAAGCCCGTCACGGACAAAGTTTCGGCCATATCAACGTTCCCCGTCCCGACAACCATCGGCCAACTACGCCGATTCTTGGGGATGGTGAACTACTATCACCGTTTTCTTCCCCATGGTGCCACCATACTGCAGCCTCTCAACAGCTTGCTGACCCACTCCAAGAAGACACTAGTGATGACCGAGGAGGCCGTCAGGTCCTTCAATGACGTCAAGGCCGCACTTGCGGACGCAACATTGCTTGCCCATCCTCGCTCAGATGCCCAACTAACCCTCATGACAGATGCTTCCAGCACTGCCGTTGGTGCATCACTGCAGCAAACTGTTAGTGGTGTTCTACAACCTTTGGCTTTCTTCTCGAAGAAGCTCAGTCCAGCAGAGACCCGCTACAGTGTCTTCGGCCGCGAACTCCTTGCCGTCTATCTATCCATCCGGCACTTCCGCCATTTCCTCGAGGGTCGTGAATTTGTTGTTCTAACAGATCACAAGCCACTCGTTTTTGCACTGAGGGCCTCTCCCGATCGCTACTCGCCCCGTGAAATCTGTCATCCTGACTTCATCTCACAGTTTTCCTGCGACAACCAACATGTCCACGGTAAGGAAAATGTGGTTGCTGATGCTCTTTCAAGACTCGAGATGGCCTCCATCACAACAGACGCCATAGACTTCACGCTCATGGCTGAGGCTCAGCGATCGGATGACGAGCTCTCCCAATACCGCCACGAGGACTCTTCCTTACGCCTTCAAGATGTCCCCCTTCCCACTGGCACCGGCACCATCACGTGTGACCTTTCTACCGGACACGAACGTCCTTTTGTTCCAGCAACTTTACGACGACGAGTGTTCAACGCTCTTCACAATCTATCCCACTCTGGAGTCCGGGCGACAGTGAAACTCATCACTGACCGATTCGTCTGGCCTAACATCAACCGGGATGTACGGCGTTGGACCCGCTCCTGTCTACCATGTCAACGAGCCAAAACGCATCGGCATACCATTACTCCGCCAGGAACTTTCGCCACCCCTGATGCACGCTTCAGTCATGTGCATATTGACCTGGTAGGTCCGCTGCCACCATCTAACGGTTCTACCTATATGCTGACATGTATTGATCGCTTTACTCGGTGGCCGGTTGCTGCGCCCATTCCGGATATCAGTGCTGAAACCGTTGCGAAAGCTTTCTTGACTCATTGGGTGTCCAATTTTGGAGTTCCTTCGACTGTCACCACTGACCGCGGATCCCAATTCGAGTCCACGCTGTTTCGCGAACTCACATCCCTTCTCGGTACCAACCGAATCCGAACAACAGCGTACCACCCTCAAGCAAATGGTCTCGTCGAACGCTTTCATCGACAGCTGAAGACTTCCCTTATGGCCCAGCCCGATCCTTCCCGATGGTCTGATCACCTCCCCCTGGTGCTGTTGTCCCTCCGTTCCACTCTCAAGGCCGACATCGGTTGCACCGCATCTGATCTTGTCTACGGAACCTCCCTACGACTGCCCGGTGAGTTAGTTTCTCCTTCAAACACGCTAATGTTTTTTGAACCTTGCAGTTATGTGGAGCGACTACGTAGTGCCATGCGCAATCTCCGCGCAACACCCCCTCGGGCGTCACCGGCCAATTCCTTCATCCCACCCGATCTGGATAAGTGCGGTTTCGTCTGGGTTCGGCATGACGCTGTCCGACGACCACTCCAACCACCCTATGACGGGCCGTATAAAGTCCTTCGTCGATCTGACAAAGATGTTGTCATCGACCGCAACGGCAAGACCGACACAGTCAGCATTGATCGCGTCAAGCCGGCCTACATCGACGACAGTGGCCATCCCTCACCCCAACACTGTACCCCGCCTCAGACACAGCGGCCTCCTCCACCTACTGGCGACAGCCCCCCTCCGGTTCGCCACACACGATCTGGTCGCCACGTCCACTGGCCCGACCGGTTTGTGGCTGGCTAGCGTGTCGACGCCTTCACTTTGTTTGGTGTCTGGGGGGGAGTTGTAGCAGCTGCTCCAGTCCCCCTTTTCTACGGCTCCGTTTTGTCGGTCGATGGTCGTGACAAGCACTGACAGGCCGCTGACGCACGACCACCCCCGCCGGCTAGAACTGGGACGCCTCCGGTCCAGCTGCAGCGACCCCCGGCTGCACTCACAAACTAGTATCACCTAACGCGCGTCGAACGCTTTGGCTTGATTCCCGTGAGGCCTTGTGAGTATGCGCCCTCCATTCGTCCCCTAATTAGTCCAATCACACGACCACCACGCAGACAGTCACCCCCTCCTGCTAACTTAGACACACACACTCGCGTTAACAAGACACACCGTGACTGACGCTCTCCATGAACGGACGCTTTTCTCTGTTGCAAGCAAACCGCCAACTTACGGCAACCTGCCCTGTGTACAGAATAAACTAGTCCTCACAGCTTCCTGATTTCTGACAGTAGACGAAACGAACTTATTGTGCGTGGTTTAAGTCGATCTCACATCCTTGACCGCCACAATAGCACTAAAAACAATCAAATTTATGAAAGACAGCATCACTGATAAACATAGAACAGATAGTGATATTCTTTCTTTCCTCCCTTTCTCGGTTCCATCAGCTATGCCACCTAACGCTAAATATCCCTTAAAGAGCTAATAATAACATCCCTATCGATAAAAGTCTGCATATTAGTTGTGCGTTAGTCTATATTAAGGCCATGTTAAACATATGTACAACAATATTATATTCTACAAACAGTCGACCACTACTCTTATAATGTCACATTCACAAGAAAAGTGTGATACATGGTTCAATATTATTTTGACAGCTTTGATTATGACTTGCTATTGAATGTTTCTTACTCCTGATATATATTCATCTTTTCCAGCTCTTTGTCCAGACAACTATAGCAAGCCTCCTGAAAAACACGAAGCAACTGTGCGACCGCCCTTTTACAGCTGGCCAGATAAACTGACAACCGGCAACTTGTAGCAACCGAGCGAGCGGCGGATGTCGGATCACGGTTAATGAAGCAAGGGGATGATGGTGACTTGAACTCAGAGGGTCCAGTCGATTGGAAGATCCGGCCTAAAGGCCTTGCACTTCCAAGTGGACGGGGTCGGGATGAACAGGCGTACGGGACATAGTATAAGCAGCACAGTTGATAAAAAGATATAAGTTTATTCGAGTATATTAAAAATGAAAAACTAATAAACGAGGCTACGGGAGAACGAAAAATACAATAAAACGACTTATCGGGAGGGGTCGGTGGTTATTCGTAGGCAAGTGGTTTAGGAAGTTTATCTCCTGCAAGGCAAACGGAAGACGAAAGCCGCTAGCGTGACAGTATATTAAAATCCTCAAGGTCGGGCCCCTGGTCAGATCTCCGACTGTTACAACTAGAAGACACCCAAGTTTACCCAACTGAAAAATACTTTCAAGGTCAGGCCGATATCAAAGTTCTACAGTTTCCATGAAGGCCATATTATTCATGCCCCCCCCACAGAAACTACCAAACTGCACACTTCAATTTTTATATTGTTCATATCGTTCTTTCTTAAAACTTTGTGATTATTCTTTCTTGGAACTCGGGTTTTTTTAACTCAAAACAAACTCTCATTTCGCGCTCTATTGGCTAAACAGACATCCAAAACAAATTACGTCAAAGTGCAGTCGAAATGGATGAGTTTGCTTTAGGTTATTTTCCCGAGTTAGAAGGAGAATGACAGTGACCAAGGGGCGCTATAATAAACCTATTCTATTCTGTTAACCAGGCTGGACGACTAGTCGTTCATGGTAGCTTTCCTGGACGACCGCATCTAATCAGACCCAGCAAGGCCGTTTGAAACAATCTCCAGCCTTACTCTGGACCCACATGAACAAATAACCCTAGTTCACGAACACCGGCTTATTTTTCGTCATGTTGAAATCTGGCTTCTATACGTTTCGCTGGCTCTTCGTTCTCTTCCGGCGCTGAGAAAAAAGCGATTGACCCCATAGGGACATGGTATAGTTACTATTGAATTTTGTTACCGCATCTCGTTGGCGGCATAGAGGTCCTTGAACATGTTCATTGCTCGCCAACACGACTCACAAACTTGCAACACCATTTGCCAGATGCACTACATATATAACGACTCGGTATTCCTGCCCTTACATACAAGCATGTCCACGGTCAACCAATAAAAGCATACAGGTCATTTCATAGAATGAACAGCATTGCTCTGGATGTCTTAGTCCTCCGAAGTTCCAACTAAAATCCCATAGACATCATTTTTAGCCTGACATATTCCATGCGAAGATATCGGCCATGCAAATATATTTTACTCAGTGAGAGAACAACACCTAAAGAGACTGCCCAGAGGTCATCATTTTCTAACGAGAGCGCTACTGCAAGCTGTTTTCTCCAAAATACTGTTTTATGTCTCCTTTTGTTGCCTTTTTACAGTAACGACACAGTTTAAAACCCACATTCTTATATTTATGCTGATGATCTAAAATGTGTGTATTCTTTCACTAAGTCCACGACCCAGCATTGCCTGGAATCAGTCCATTCTGATTTGCTTGCCATTTCTGCATGAAGTTAGATACGGCTAATGGAATTTTCCTCCTCTAAATGTTGCAACGTGTTTTTTGTACCGGTAAGCAAATTAAGTCACTGGTTTTTTAAAGGCACTCCTATGACCGGGTGTCACTGCTCAGGGCTTCGTTTTAAGCTATAACGACATCCTAACTCTTTCGTCACACACCGGCAGAACTAGGATCAAAGTTTCCCAGATTTGTGGCTTTGTTTCTTACTTTACCTTTCTGGAATTTGATTTGGAATTTATCTTAGATTGCCCTTTCTTTTGGTTGAGTATTGCTGCCCGTTATTTGGGTTAGTGGATGAGTCTAGTTGTACTTAGATTGCAAGTGTCCCAGAACATTTTACTAGAAACCTCTCATAACGCACATATCCGAATACATCATGGTCAAGCATATGGCAGCTAGTACACCTACAGTATCTGTGTTCAGAGACAAGGAGATGACATCTGTTTATTTCTTTGCATTATTGATAGTCCAGCTCATTCTCGCATTTTGACCTTTGCCCCTGTTATTCGTGGGCACAACATTCGTACTCCTCCTTTGATTAGTCCCGTTTCGCCTTCTCTACCTCCAAAGGCTCTCTTTTCTTTGCAGCCAAATATATTTTCAATTAGAACACCTGCCATTCGATGTGAGATTATCAAATAGTCAACCTCTGGTTAACAGAATGGTGTCCCATTACCTTCGCACCGACTCGATAAAATTTTATTCTCTTCGTCTTCCCGAACAACTTTTCTATTGGTTCGAGAAGGAACCACCAAGAATTTAGGAGAACATCACCAAATTATTTTGTCGCTTGCATCCTTACAGTGTATTCGACTTCGTCCGTCTCGCTCTCTCATCGGTCATCGGGTTTTCTCAATTTACGCATGGAGACCTTCGGTAAACACAGCGTCCTCTCTAACCCAGGGCTGAGACAAATGGCCAGGGTCATCGCGACACACGTTCTAAACCGCCTCCGCTTCGGTCGTCCCCCGCCCTTATCAGGATTCCGTTCTGACCACTGGCATGCGTGAGCTAATCCCCATCGTCGGTCTCCACTTTGATCGGCCGAAACCTACTATAGATAGATAGATAATTTTTATTAAAGACCTGTCGGGTTCCCATCAAAGCATACTTTTAATGGTGCCTCAGAATCGCTCGCTACCCCGCGTGGGTGCTTAATACAACAATTTACTTATCCATTATTACACATTACCCCCAGAGGGAACCAGCCCTGATCCGTCATATCCCCTCTCGAAGCAGTTTTTCTTTAAATCTCCCCACATTTTTAACTGCAGGAGGTTCTTTCGTTGCTTCGCACAGAATTTCCCCTTATGTTCAATACCTCTAAGTAAGAATTTACGTACAAATTTCTGGCGGGCCAAAAAAGTTTCCTCCGATATATACCATCTTGCTAAATTCAACTGTACAGCTGTTTGATAGTACAGGTCCCGGATTAAATATTATTGTTTGCATACTGCCATTTGAATCAGTGTCAAATTTGCGTCGACAATATCCTCAAGGGGCTTATTATTAATAATGATAGTAGCCAGTGGCCTTCGGAATTGCAGACAATTCTTCGCCTTCCCGCCTCACTAACAGCCATATGTGGGCCTCAGACATACGCGGGCTTAGACAAAATTTTTGTTTTCTCCTATTGAGTTGCCCGTGCGGAATCGAAATCGGATGGATGGGGCAGTGATTTAATGTCGGAGTCGTCCATAGCGATGACTTAGGCAGGCGGCATCTGAACACTATGTTATCCAGCCACAAACGCAAATGCATTAAGATACGTAAATATGAAGTGACGATGAAATCCTGCTCGAATTCGAAGACTGAGAAAAGTAAGTAAATGGTTCTGGCAATCGAGAAGTCTTCTTTTCCTTGATCAAAATTAAATGTCTTAATAAAAAAAATGTAGAATTTATTATTGAAACAGGACAAGAAGGTGCTTCAAGAGTGGGAGCGTATACAAGGTAAGTGAGGTCCCGAATAAGAACGACATGCGAGAAATGGTCGGAAATATCCTGGTGACGGAAAACTGAGAACTCTTCACTTTTAATCGGCCATTCAGCTTTATGTTTCTCATGACCTTCGGTCTGACTTATTAGCTACATATAACACGTGAAATTCCGTGCGATCCCTTAACGCTTTATCGTGTGGCGGTATGGGCCAAGGTCCAAGGTGAAAATTAACGTGAGTGATATAATACAATGATTGAATTTTCTCCAATGAAAGTGTTCGCTCAAATTGCACACTTTAGCCGAATCCTATTTTGACAATTTGCTTTAACCTCCCATGCAACGATTGCAATTGGGCTAAAATAACAAAAAATAGGCGAGCACGAAGGCAATTCAGACAAGCCAGTGTGAAAAAGCAATAAATTCAGGTCAGCAATTTTTGTTGTTGA